AAGCAAGCAAGCAGGCTGCTCCATCACAGTCACTACACCCTTCTATCCTTGTGGCAATTCCTGGTGTCACTGCTCCCACAGCTTTTCCATCTGCTAAGGTTCCTTGTGGCCAGAGGTTGGAGCAGGAGACCACTCTGCAGGCTCCCCCAAGATGGTGCCAGGGAGAGGCACTGGAGGAGTCGCAGCTTACTCTTCGCCAGTGACTCACTAGGGTCTACCTCTCAGGAGACTCAATAGCACCTCAGAGGTATTGAACCTGGAAGGATAGTTCTTATGGACTGTGGGCCATGGCCTTGGGATCCAGAAAGTTTACAGCAAGGCAGGGAGACCACAGACCATCCCATAATAATACAAAAGTTCATTAAAAGACAGGAAGAGAAGTAGAAGTGTTGTACAAAGCAGTCAAAGAGAAATTGGCAGCTAAGTAATCTCCAGCCTCTTATAGGACAGAAGAAAGAATAAGTACTTCTTTTTAATCTTAGTGGCTGAAAAAGGTATAGATGCATGCAGATGCTCCTAAGCACACGATGGTACATCCTAATTCAACCCTTCATAATCTGAAAATGTCATTAATCAAACATGCATTTAATACACCTAGCATCCTAGTCACTTTCTCATTGTTGGGATAACATACTCAACACCCACAACTTAAAGAAGGAAAGGGGACCTTTTTGCTCATGTTTTTCAGAAGACTCGGTTTGTAGTTGGTTGGCTCCAACACTGGAAAAGCATGGTGGAAGGGTCTGGCAGAGGGAAGCTCCTCATGCCATGATTGCCAAGAAGCAGAAAGTGAAGGGAGGGGCAAGGGAGGGATGGATCCACTGATGACTACAGCACCTCCATGATCCAATCACCTTCCCAAAGCCCTGCCTTTGAGAACTTGCAAGTGTTGATGGCCACTCTAGATCTAAACCATAGCACCTAGCATACTGACCAGTCACAGTATGACAAACCCTGCGGAAGGCTGAGGCAAGATAATCCCAACTTTGAGCCTAGCTTGGATAACTTAGCAACTTAGTGAGTCCTTATCTCAAAATAAAAAAGGGAAAGGGATGCAGTTCAGTGGCTCAATGCGAAGGCCCTGGGTTCAATCCTCAGTACCACACACAAGAAAGAGAGACAGAGAGAGAGAGAGACAGACAGACAGACAGACAGACAGACAGAGAGAGACGGAGAGAAAAAGAAAGAAAAGAAACTCACTTAATTCTTCACAACTGCTCGAAGTAGTGATAGATAGCTGGCTTTAGGATTCCATTCATCTCTTTCCTCCACAAAATAAACTTCATCTCTTGGTTGGACATATGGCCACCTCAAATGAAGACATTTCCCAGGTACCCTTTGCAGCTGTACAAGATCATGTGGTTGAGCTCTAACTAGAAAGTGTGCTACAAAGAGGAAGCATGTTCTTCCTTGCTTCCTCTTTTCTACTGCCATAAATATGAAGTAATGGCTGTCACAGTAGTATTCTTTTTCCACCACATGGGAACGTGAGGATGAAAGCAACCACCAAAAAAGCAATAAGACACAAGGATCTATGGCCATTGATATTGTAGAACACAATCCCAGCCCTGGGATCCTTCTAGACTTTTTTCTATCTAATTTAAGGCACTATTATTTAGGACTTTCTATTACTTGGAGTTAAACCTAATTATAAGTAATGCATAGACTCAGCATAAAAGGGACTCCGAAAGTTTATTGGAAGGATGTGTGTTGTATACATGAACTACTCTCTGTGTTCTAGATTCTGGCCCATGAATGCTTTTCTCCCACTCACCATATAGAAAACCTCAACAAAATGCATGACTGCAAAACTCACAAAATTTTTGACCTAAATTCATTTGTGTGTGTTTGGTGCTTCTGTGGGGAAAGAGAGGATGGCTGGCAAAGAAGATTTTCTTTCTCTTGGCTATCCCCCAGACACCGAGATTTTAATAGCGGTAAAAAGCTGACAGAAGAGTTATTAATAATATGGCATTGCACTAAATGAGCTAGAAATGCAGCAACATGGAAAATCAAAAGACTTCATCACAAAACTCCAACTATTATGTAAATGCATTGCCACTTGGGAAAATGACTAAGTATGAGATTCATTATAAGTAATATTTTCATCCCAACCTTCATGACCTTTGGAAACTTCAATATATGACCCAATTTATTAGCTGAAAGAAACAAGATCTCTCTAGAATACTTTCCAATGACTTCCATAAATTTTTAAGCTTAAATAATTCATACAAATACTTTGTATTATTAATCATGCAAATATCTGTTATTATTTTTTAAAGCCCAGAACTTCTGAAAAACTGTTAATCCTGAATGCATTCCCTAATCTTGCTATCATTTCATTATATAAAGATACTACTAGATTGAAGGTACATACAGTAAATATATGGAAATAAATGATAGCATGTGTACATCCATCAGACTTTTTGCTTGCATATAAGTTAAACTAACTCTTGGCTTATTTAAGTGAAAATAAACTGTGGTAAATGGTTATTGAACAGCGTGGAGAATCCTCAGGAAGGACAGAATGACCTGACATAGAGGTAATAGCCAAGGACAATCCCATAATTACACTGCAGAACTAACCAGTAAGGACACTGGGGCTACAGCCCCACTGTGCCCTGACCCTCTGGACACTACTCCCAGGACCAGCTCCCTGAGTCTTCCGGAAGCTGGACATAATCACTGCTGCTACTCTCACAAGAACAGATTCTGCATGGTCCCTGCTTCCTTCTGTCACTTCCTGCTTGTTCTAGGCCATGTGCAGGTGTATGTGATTAGTATTTCCCAGCTCATGGCATTCAGGTCCCTTATCCTGAGCAAATCCTTTGGGCTCTCTGCCTGTTTTCCCATTAGTGAAAAGGGATTATCAATGTTCCCTTCCTCATAGGGTGTCCTACAGAGTAGATAAAATAAGGCCTATGGAGTTCTTCGCATAACACAAAGGAGACTAGGGAATCTGCTAACTTGAGGGATCTGGACATGAGCTCTGTTTTATAAGGTGGGAGCTTCCCCATACAGAAAAAGACAGTTTTCATGGTGGGCCACCAGAAATGACAAATAGCCACAAGCATGCAATTTAACGAAT